TATCAAAAGTTGCGATTGAAAAGAAGAGTCACAAAGGAGTTTTTAATTAAAATTGGACAAGTAACTGACTTCAAAGTCTAAATTGCTGGAGGCAAGAACAACTACATTCGAAAGATATTACTTGGCTGGAAGTTCTTTTTTGGGGACTTCTTGTGCATCAGCGAGCTTAGCAGTATTCTTTTCATTATCCCGGAATTTGGGGAATGACTCCCAGGGCGTGTTGAACTCAAATTTACGGAATTCCTGGGCCAATTCAACAGGCTCGATTACAACTCGCTTCAGTTCTTCATCGTAACGCATCTGTAGAAAAAAAGAAACAACATGCTCAGTAGTGCAGGTTTTTTCTGATTTCCGGAGAATCGATGAGTAGTTTTAGTGGGGCGCTTTTCATGCAACAGTAGACAGTAAACTGCGAATGAAAGTCATGTACTACTATGAAAATTGGTTTCATTTTACTTAAGTCTAACGAGTGTTCTGCGACCCTCAAATAGGTTACTGGACTGCGTGGCGACTATCAGCAACAAACGCCAAACTGAAGTGCTCGAACCCGTTTGACGCGAATTCCCATGAACGGTAAATGAAGGTACGTTGTTTCGGCAAAAGTCTGCACCACTGGAGAATTCATTTTGATCCCACCACTCTAAGCTCAGATTCAAAAACCTCTCCTAATACAAGCGAGCATGCGAGTCCCAAGAAGCAATTGAGAATAAGAGTCGTTTTCTTCTCAAACCTCTCCCGTCTGCTCAATATTCAGTTTGGCGTTCAACAAGGCTACATTCCATGGGATACCCTGTTTAAATAAACTATCTGTTTTATTTGCGAAAATACTGCCTGCAGCTCGAACAGTGCCGAATTTGCCTCAGAGCATGGACAGACTGAGCTGGGTTACCGTGACGATATTGTCCTGCTAATCTCAGACTATGCTGACAGGCATAACTTTTGGCGCACCGATCAATAGGCGTATTAATTGTTTGAAGACCAAGGACCGACTTGCTAGATTTTGTAAGAGAGTTCATTTGCGTTAATAATGAGCCTCATTACGATCTGTCATAATCGTTCAATATTTAGACTGATAGTCGAAGGAACGCATCCCTCAGTCATTCTCAGCAAACACCATAATGAACTCGGATGCCGGCCGGAGTAACTTGACTACAGCGATTACATCGCGCTCTTAACAATGAATTACTGAGATCTAAATAACGTCACGGTATCGACTAGGTGGCTCACTGAAGCTGTGCAAACCATTACCTAACAGAGAATTTTAGAGGGAGAGCATAGTCCTGACGACCAACAGCTGTCGATTCACAGCGTAGATTCACAGCGTAGATTCACACTTAAGTGCTAGATGTACTCTCAGAAGCAGAATGCAGAAGCAGTGCAGACAAAATGTATGCCGCCAGCAAGGTTTTCACAAAACTTCGAAGGGACCTAGCGGCTCATCACAATACCCGGTTATAGGTAGCTTTTACCATATGCACCACACGCCCGGCCAGTCTCTGT